AATAAAAACATCAATATCAAATACCTCAGATATAAAAAGATAGAAGTTAAAAAAATACTGTAAGTTTCTTTTAAGAGCAGTAATTCTGTAGACAGACATTTTAAATAAAAAGTACATGTCTCAAGGCCTTACATACAAAGAGGTGTTAACAACTTAGGTGAAGTTGAAATAACAGGCAATTAGTGAAGCTGTCTTACCCTTTTTTCTTTTTTCATTTAAAAAGGCTGAGCACTATCCAAATATAATAGAAACTGGAACAAACGAAAACTGGGGATTTCCCAATGATTTTATTGAGGTAACTTTTCCCAATTTTATACATATATGGATTTACATATACTCAGGAAAGCTAAACAATGTTCTAAGGCACTTGGAATTGTGCACAGCAAAGTATCCTCTAATATTATACAACTAAATAGAGCAGAATTTTGCTTTTTAAATAACACAAACACCAGTACGGAATTAAAAAAGAGAATACATAGTCTTTCTTTCAGGTTACAATAGTGGAATACAAGTACTTATGTGTGTATACTTGTAGATATTTATACCCACATACTATAATACAGTACAGATAAGAACAACAACAAAAGAGAAACTGTCATGTTAATCAGTGTACAGTTCCAGTTATTTACACTCACAGATATTACACCTGTGTAATACGTAGAACTAGATCACTCACTGGAAATCAGAAAGCATTCAGTCAGTCTGATAATGATCACAGTTTACCATTGTTATCATTTTAACTGAAGTGTGAAATAACAAAAGAATGCAGATAGTCCATTATTTAAAAATCACTGTTACACAGAAAAAAAGAAAGAAAGAAAGAAAGAAACTCGTTTGAATTTTTAGTAGATATTAAATCTGGTGAAATTGGTGTAAATGTTTTGAACACACTGGCACATTTCTAAGCCACAGAAGAAATGTTTAAAAAACAAGAAAAAGAAATATTAGTCCCTATATTTTAAGGGATGAAAGTGGTTTGACCCTTGAATCATTCTGATTCTTTCTGAAGGCGAGTTAGCACTGCAGTGGCAGCTTCTGGCTGTGGAGGCTCTCTAAACAATGTAATGACATAGTCAAACTATAACAAAAGTAACCAGTAAGGGAAAAGCCCCCCTCTCACGAGTTGGCAAGTGGCACAAATATTATTGGCATTTTCATATACCATAAAATTGACCTGAGGGTAGAGTGGCATTCTGCCTTATTTGCTCCTTTCAATTTATTCTTAAAAAAAAAAATACTGCTATTTAAAAAGATAAGAATTCTTAAGCACCATCTAAAAGCTTACAATATAACCACCTTTATTGACTCTGCGTTACCTGGCCTCAAAAAAAATTTAGAAATTTTAATGTTTTAAAATATTATAGTGGCTAAGTGAATTCCATTTTGCTAGCCACAATTCATCCGAATAACATATTTACCATTCAGTTTTGGTGATACAAAGCGACAAAGAGAATATGTTTCTGTATTGTTAGTACAGTTTAATAATGTTTCACCTAAGTAAAACTCATCTTGTTTTGTGTGTGACCATCACTGAAGTATGAACAATAGGCATGCAATCCACAGTTAATCCACATTTTCATCATAATGCGGCATTCACAAATCTTATTAGAAAAGTTGAACCGCATGACTACATTTATACAGGGGAAATTCAAGCATTTGCGTGTGAATTAAATGCTTTGTTAATGGGATAAACAGGCGATTCATTTGGAACTTATGGGATGCAGCATAACCAGGTGAAATCTAATGGTAACTTATTTCCAAAGACCACCAGGTTTGTTCAAGTGCACTGTTAGTCTGTGTTTGTGTTTAACCCATGCAACAATCCTCATGACAGTAACAAGGATTATGACCAAAAATGTGGTTCTAAAGAAAAGTTGTAAGGCAAAAAAAAAAAAAAAAAGCCTTCTTCATGTATGATCTCTCCTTTAAGTATATATAGGGACTAGGCCAAGTCCCCATGCCCACTGAATGGCCGAGGCTGCCCAGTAACCTCCTCCCTGAAGAACTGGCAAATTAAAGCTGCACTGAGACAAAGGCTTGAAAAATGAAGGGAGAAAAACCATTCAGGGCCCAAAGAAATGCAAGGCAGCAGAGACAACGTTTGGGGATAGGCACTTTTTCTCTATGTGTCCTCAAATTGCAGTAGACAGTGGCATTCAGGGGAGGTGATACCAACCTCCCAGAGAGGGTATTTGAACCTGGGGGAAGGCTTTTTATTCTTGGTGTTTACAGTGACTGAGAATGCTACTGACATTTAGTCAGCAGGGGCCTAGGATATTAAACATCTGGCAATGCATGGGACGATTCTGTACAACAAAGACCTGCCCAGCTCCAAATGCCAAGAGCACCCCCACTGAGAAACATGGACCAACAGTGCTTTGCTCATATGTGCAGCTGTGCTAGCAATGCGACAAGCTAAATGACATTTTTTGTGTGTGTACAGTAAATCCTAGCATGGCTAAAAAATGACTCATCCTTATATGGTTGGCTTTAGGTGGGAATAGCTGCCACAGGATCCTCCACTTTTTTGCCAGAAATTTCACAACATATACAATAGGATTTTTAAATTTGGGATGACACCGTCTTCAAAAAAGCATTGGTGGGTAAGCTTCCAGCTGCTTTCTAGAAATGCTAATGATGCTTTGCATTTCCATACATAGCTTAAGCTTAACGATTACGAAAAGGAAATTGGAAGTGAAAATGGGAATTATCTGAGAGTACTCTATCTCTCTCCCTACCACCTCTTGGTTGCTGCCTGCCTTTACAGTAGAGCCCAATGCTGCTTCTCTGAAACCTGGGTTTAAACTAACTGGGGATGTACTTTCTCTAGAAAGATGTTCCTATTAATTTGGTGATTACTCTGTCATTGCTTTTCCCTCAAGGACATATTTTATTTTATTTTATCCATTATTATTATTATTATTATTATTATTATTATTATCATTATTTTGAGACGCAGTCTTGCTCTGGCACGATCTTGGCTCACTGCAACCTCCGCCTCCTGGGTTTAAGCAATTCCCCTGCCTCAGCCTCCCGAGTAGTTGGGACTACAGGCACAAGCCACCATGCCTGGATACTTTTTTTTTTTTTTTTAAGTATTTTTAGTAGAGACGGGGTTTCACCATGTTGGTCAGGCTGGTCTTGAACTCCTGACCTCAAGTGATCCACCGGCCTTGGCCTCCCAAAGTGCTGGGATTACAGGTGTGAGCCACCACGCCTGGCCAATATAGGACATATTTTAGTTGTGTAAGTTCATTCTGCTTTGTCCAGTAAAGCAATGTAATCTATCCTGTCAGTAAGTAGAAACTATCTACTCAGTAGTGAAAGATCTAGCCATTTCAAGAGGCCAAGGGACAATTCTGTAAATAAATTGCATCTAAGTAGTTCCTTACTACTCACAACATACTCTAATGGTGTGAAGAAATTAATTCTTATCCCAAAGAATATAATTTTCCTAGTAATGATAGGCTTCATATAATTGGAATTTAAGAATGCTTTAACAGTTCTACCATACTCAGGGGTAAATGACATAAATTCATATATATTGTACTAATTTAATTCTAAACCACCTACTCTGAGGAAGATTTCTTGCTCCGTTTGAAATTTGCAGCAAGGGGCACTTAAAAATAATAACAGACTGAAGAAATTTTTGAGCAGGAAAGGAAGGAAGTTTTCATTACTAAGTGTGGACATACTACTCTGTGGTAGACAAGACTATCCTTTTCCATTGTGAATACAGTATGATTTTTCAGAGCTGTATCTGCCTGGTTCTATGAAGTATAAATAAAATGCCTGTTAGGTGTTAATGTGGTACATACCAGCACATGCAGTGTTAATGCAATCTTCTCCTCTTTTAAGTGTAAGCTACTAAATATATAATATGCATATATATTTATTTAATTTTTTTTAATGCCAATGCAGCCCTGGATTAATTGCAGGCTGTAAAACTGGACCTTTTTTGACTCAGGTTTTAAGGACTCATCTCTTATTTTCAGTATTTGGCGATTTTTGAAGGGTGTATTCAATTCCTTTATTTCCTTAAATATATTTTCCCTTCAATTTCAGAACTTCCTACTAACAGAATATATTTACTAACATTAGAGAAAAATAAAGGACTACTCTTATTATGCTACTAAACAATATGAAGATGAAACCAGAAAGTCAGTTTTTCTGGGTAAAGCAGAGAGACAGATGTGTGTGCTTTTTCCTCCATGTAAAATAGCTGTTCAGATGCCAAAATGGTTCTCTATTACAGATTTCAGTTAAGTAATTTAAGGAATTATAGCTAACACGTAAAAGTGTGAGACGCTTCACATACACAGGAAATTATCAGGCAAGCTGCCTTGAATGAATGCTGACTACCAGAGAACTATTTTGTCAGACCGATTGGTAATGACCATGAAGATGCCGATCAAGCCTGCTGAGCATCTTCTTAATACGTTAATATTAATGTTTTGTTCTTCATTTAAAAAAAACTAAATTGGTCACTTTGGTTTTTACATCTGTCTAGTTCTTTCTGGACTGGGATCTTCCTGGAGATGGGTTTGTTTTCTTCCTTAATCATATCTTGGGAACTCAGGAAAACCCACTTACTTCCTCAATGTCAGCCTAATGTCAAACTTTAAATAGCCAAATACCTGGAATTGTGTTACAACAAAAGAAATCCAATTCACACACAGTTTTATTTTTCCTATACGGCATATGCTTACTGGTTGGATTGCTGAAACGCTGGTGGTGGGCAGAGGTGCCTATGCATGGAGGGTGGGCCAGACCTCTAGATCCCTTTAGGGCCCCCAGGTAGGAGACTTCTGGCTGGGCGGCCAGTGGGGATATGGCTCGTCTCTGCTCTACTAAAATAGAACCATATTCCGCAAAATACAACTTAGCTTATAATCCTTTAATTCTTTCCACAGCTTTTTACTCAAGCCGTCATTCTAATAAAATAATTGCTGATTCCAATTTCCTAAATAGTAGACTAGCAGTGGCTAATTTTTTTTTTAACTTTTAAACTTTTATCTAAGTTAAAAAAATTTTTCTAAATGTATCGATTAGTATAAAGAAAAAGTATGAGTAGTTAATAAATCTGACCTATTATACAAAAAAAATTTTTGAAATACCAGATTTTCATTTTTTGTACTGAGTGTATCTCATTGTAGGCAATAAAAAACTGCGTCATAGGCATCAAAAGTGGGAAGAAATTGTTCCTTTTATCAACCAAATAAAAACTTTCAATAACATGTACTTTGAGTGATAAGATGGTGATGTCTTATATTTACCATTGTAGAGAGGTCTTGTGGTTAGAAATTTAAAGTGTTTAAAGATGATTAAGCATAGACAATTAAAAGAAACATTATATCTCTTGGTATTTTTCCCAAGATACTAAAATAATAAAATAAAAATATAATTAAGGAAAAGCATGACTCTGGGGAAAAAAAATCACAAGTTAATTTTTATGGCTGGATTGAAACACCATAAAACAGACAAAACCTCAGTCAGAGACAGATACCTGGGCACACAGAAAAATTTTTTCAAAGCAAAAAATTTGTCTTATCCTATTAGTGAAATGACAACAGACTCTATGTGTATTTTGTTAATGCACAGAGCCTAACAAGAGGTGCAGTAATGCTGGTTACTTTTCCTAGTGCTAACACAATCCTGGCTTTTAATAATAGGCCAACTGGCATTATCATTTTTTATTTTTAAATAAAATGATCCAATTTCAAGTGGTTCTTCAAAATACCAATGAATGGCAGGATCTACATTTATTCACCAGGTTAAATGCTTACTTTTGGGTTGAAATAGAAAATTACAGTCCTGAACCAGAAACATCTCAGAAAATTGTAGTCCAAACTCTGAGAATAAAATAAACTCTATTTGGGTCTTGTTTTGTTATTCATTTCATGTGTTTTTAATTAAAGGGGCACAAAACAATCGTGAAGAACAATTAAATGCAAGGTGGTATTTACATATGGTTATATGTATTCGGGAGCAGAAGTCATACTGTGCCTGTGACTCCATGGAAAATAGGAACACAACAATAGAGCGTTTCTTAATGTAAACAATACAGACTGTAGGCTCATAGGGAAAGCTTCCACTACTTTAATCTCACTGATTCTTTTGCACTGACAGTAAATACTGTATTGTATTTATGGATGCAATCTGCAGATTCTTAAAATACAAGATGAGGATTTCCTCACACACAACGTAGTGGAAACTTTCCATGTTCTGTTAAGCCTTTGGGTTTTTTTTTTTTTTTTGATCTGTGTCCTTTTTTTTTTTTTTCTTTTTTTTTTTTAATAGCAGCAATCCAACTTTTAAAAAATGCAGCACTAAAAAATAACTAGTCCTTATTCCCATGCAGGACTAACTGCAGGCAGCACGTTTGTATCTTGCTTAAATTTTAACTTTGGAGTCAAGTTTTCATAACAGGTGTCATGATTGTCAATACTGTCTTCTTTAGGTGAAGTATGGTTGCTTTGACTTTGGATCTAATCAAGATAGGGAAAGATCAAAAGATTTATTTCTGAAGCTTGCTACAGTTTTCTAGGGTCACATTACATCTGACTTTATTCTCAGTCCTCTTTTCCTGTGAAGGCTGGTACACTAGGAAAGGAATATTTAAAAATGTCAAGTGTGTATAGCTAATGCTACTTAAAAGCATGCAACAAAATTTGGGTAAGCATGCTTGTTAAAAGTCAGTAGAAGCTCTCGCATTTAAGAAAAAGATGCATGAAAACATTCAGACTTATTCCTGGCAACTGGATTCACTGGCACAACATAAAATTGTGGTACTATACTGTACCAACATAATGGTGAAACAAGAATATTCTCAGATCAAGTCTTTGAGGAATCCATATCGGGAGGTTAGATTCCTAAATCCCTTACTAAGTTCTCAGCTACCCAATAACTACTTCAAAAATACATTTATGCTTCAGTTTTCTCTTTTCTTCATTAACATAATGAAATATTTCTCTTTCTTTCTGATTTTCAACTCCCACCCCTTTTCAGTGCCCAGCAATTTTATCTATATTTTTCTTTCACCCGCATCATAAAATTTGGCTTTCTGGTAACAGGGAGCCAGCGATTGTCATCTGCTCATCTTCTTTGATTAAAGCTTCTGATGAAGAATATCCATGGAGTCTCTTACCATCGCTGTGCATTCTGGGCAGCAAGAGTCACTGCATCCTTCCCTTTGCTTGTTGGAGCCATCTGGACCGCACAGGTGAGGAGCACTTCCCAATCAAGCTGAGTCACACACTTCCTTCACCACAAGTTAAACGGAAACACACACATTCAAATCCCAGTGCAATATCAGGTTTTCAGGAAGCAGGGCTTCCCCCAAAGATGATCAGTCTCTGTGTCCAAACAGTCTCGCACTTCGTTATGGACGATGAAACCTGGAGTAAGAAACAGAAACTATGAGTCTGTGGCCTAGGAGCACATTCTGCATGCAGTGAGCTGAGGAAGGTGTGGCCGTGTTTACAATGAAAAGCTACCCTAGATATCCCCCAACTGAATTACTGTTTATAGATTGCTGTCGTAAAAAAATACTGTTATAAATATTATTGAGGAAAGCAGAGACAACCCTTATATAAAATATGCTGGTTATAGTATTCAGGTTCCACAGCAACTGAGACAGAAAACATCACTATTCTTGAGTGTCACACTCTAACTTTTATCAAGCAGAGGGAGATGTTTCACAAAGGGATTTCGGTACACCTGGTTTGTATTATAAAAGCAGAACAACAAATAGGCACTTTTTCATTAGTTTCAGCCTCTCATCATCTCCTGCTGACAACTCCAAATTTACTTTCTACACTTGAATTTCTGAAAGCCCACAGGATGCTTCCCCCAGATGTTCCACAGGTACATACTAAGCATGTCCACAACTATACAAAGCTTTCCTTGTTAACCTGCCTTTGCACTTTGTCTTATTTAATGTTCTACCTTTAAAAATATTTTTTGTCTAGAAACCTCAGATTAGCAATTCATTTCTCTCCCTCATCCAGCATTTCCTATTAGTCACCAAGTCCTGCCTCAACTGCCTGTCTTGGAATCATTAAAGTGTCATCTTTTGCTGGCACTACTTTCATGGTATGCTTGTTAGCCAGCCAGCTGGCTTCCTTTCCCTCCTTGTGAGTTCCTAAACATTCCTCGCATTTTTGTAGCCCGGTACTTTTGAACATGCTGTTCACTAATACTGCAATTCCTTCCCTTCATTTCCTATCTATATTTTCATTTTCAAGATCAAGGTCAAAAGTTATCTTCTCCATAAAGCCTTAAGTGATCAAGCCCTTCAGCCTACTTCTGCAATTCCACGTTTGTGCAACTCTGCGTAGCATTTCACCCTGTCTTCTATAATCGAACGCTCATCTGCTCTGGTCAGCCAGTCTCCTAACTGATTTCCCTGTCCCAGGCTCTCTCCATCAGATCTATGCTCCTCACTGTTACTAGCACTATCCTTAAAAATACTGGTCCCATCATTCCAGTTCTTGGGGTTTAAAAAATCTTTTTTAATTTTTAATTAGAGATGGGGGTCTCACTATGTTACCTAGGCTGGTCTTGAACTCCTGGTCTCAAGTGATTTGCCCACCTTTGCATTCCAAAGTGCTGCGATTACAGGTATGAGCCACTGTGCCCAGCCCCGTTCTTTCTCAAAAGGATGTATTGTTCCCCATTCCCTACAAAATAAAATTTAAGTTGGGCATGGTGGCATACACCTGTGATCCCACCTGCTTGGGAGGCTGAGTTGGGAGGATAGCCTTGAGTCCAGGAGTTCAAGACAAGCCTGGGCATGTAGCAAGACCCTATCCCTTAAAAAATTAAAATAAGAAAACCAACAAAAGAAAATTTAAATTTCCTGGAGAAAGTGGCCCAACTCATGGTTGTAGCTATATTTCTATCACTGCTTCCAAATATTCTCCATTCCAATCATTTGCCCCAAAAAGGCTTTTGCGCTAATACTCTTTCCTCTACCTTTTTTTTGTGGGGTGGTTGGGGGAGCCCTGGGGTGGGAACAGGGTTCCACTCCTGTTGCCCAGGCTGGAGTACAGTGGTGCAATCTCAGCTCACTGCAGCTTCAACCTCCTAGGCTCAGGTGATTCTCCCCCCTCAGCCTCGAAGTAGCTGAAACTATAGGCATGCACCACCATGCCCAGCTAATATTTGTATTTTTAGTAGAAATGGGGTTTTGCTATGTTGCCCAGGCTGGTCTTGAACTCCTGCACTCAAGCAATCTGTCCTCGTCCTCCCAGAGTACTGGGATTACAGGTTTGAGCCACCACGCCTGGCTTACTCTTTCTTCTACCTTTATCTCTCCTCCCATCTGTGCTTTATGCAATCTCACTCTGTGAGTTCTCCAATTCCCTTTCCTCCACTGCTCAGGGAAGCACGAATCACTCTCTTTCCTGTGTTCCCATAACCTTTGGCTTATGCCAGTTATTGCTCACATTATATATACATTATATAATCTTTGGATACATGTGCCTTTGCTATTGGATCATGAGAAGCTTATCCATTTTTACGTACTCATTGAATACAAACTCTGGCACATGGTAGTACTTAATAAATGTTGCTGTGTTGAATACAAGCATTACAAAATGAAAAACTAAAAAATCAGAGCAGGTGAAATGAGATGGGCCGTGAATTGTTAACTGAGGAGCTGCTAGTTGGACACAAGGGACTTATATTACTTCTGTGTGTTTGACTTTCCAAAAGTCAAAAGAAAAATAAGATACAGCAAGCTTTACAAAACTAGTAGACAATTTATGACTAAAGCAGGAATGCGTCCACTTTGAGTTCAGTTCTTAATCTATCCCTGACCATAACCTTGGGCAGATGTGAGGACTGCCATGCCTGCATTTGATACACAGAGGCAACATCACTCTTTCAGCCACTCTTTCGAGGGCCAGGTCAAGGGCCCTGTTGCCTCGTGTAGGCTCAGGACATTGTTCCCTGCATCCCAGCCATTTTGGCTCCAGCCTTGGCTCAAAGGGCCCCAGATACAGCTCAGGCTTCTGCTTCAGAGGGTGCAAGCTGAAAGCCTCGACAGCTTCCACATGATGTTAAGCCTGCAGATGCACAGAATGCAAAAGTGATGGAAGCTTCGGAGACTTCACCTAGATTTCAGGGGATACATGGAAAAGCCTGGGTGTCCAGGCAGAAGCCTGCTGCAAGGGCATAGCCCCCACAGAGAACCTCTACTAGGGCAGTGTGGAAGGGAAATGAGGGGTTGGGGATTCCACACAGGGTCTCCTCTGGGGCACTGCCTAGTGGAACTGTGAGAAGGAAGCCACTGTCCTCCAGACCCCAGAATGGTAGATCCAGTGGCGGCTTGCATCATATGCCTGGAGAGGCCACAGACATTCAACGCCAGCCTGTGAGAGCAGCCTGGGGGCTGCACTTTGCAAATCCACAGGGGTAGAGATGCCCACTTACACTAGAGTGCCCGGGACATGGGACATGCAGTCAGAGGCGATTATTTTGGAGCTTTATGATTTAATGACTGCCCTCCTGGGTTTTGAACTTGCATGGGGCCTGTAGCCACTTTCTTTTGGCTGATTTCTCCCTTTGGGAATGGGAATGTTTACCCAATGTAGATCCCCACTGTATCTTGGAAATAACTAACTTGCTTGTTATTTTACAGATCATAGCTGGAAAGGATTTGCCTTTTTTCAGATGAGATTTTGAACTTTTGAGTTAATGCTGAAATGAATTAAGACTTTGGGGGACTGTTGGGAAGGCATTTTGAAATGTGAGAAGGACATGAGATTTGGGAGGGGCCAGGGGCAGAATGATATAGTCTGGATATTTGTCCCTGCCAAATCTCATGTTCGAATATAATCCCCAATGCTGGAGGTGGGGCTGGGAGGTGTTTGGGTCATGGGGGTGGATCCCTATGGCTTGGTACTGTCTTTGTGATGGTGAGTGACTTCTCACGAGGTCTGGTTTAAAAGTGTGGGGCATTCCTCCTCCACTCTTGCTCCCATTCTTGCCATGCGATGTGCCTGCTCCCCCTTTGCTTTCTGCCATGATTGGAGACTTCCTGAGGCCTCCCCAGGAGCAGATGCTGCCATGCTTCCTGTACAGCCTGCAGAACTGTGAGCCAATTAAACCTGTTTTCTTATAAATTACTCAGACTCAGGTATTTCTTTATAGCAGTCGAGAATGGCCTAATACAGTCTGTGAGGGTGTTTTCAGAGACTGGCTTGTGAGTCTGAGTGGACTAGGTAGGGAAGATCTTCCCTCAGCATTGGCGGCCACAGCCAATCTGACAGAGAGCCAGAGAGGACAAAAACAGAGAAAAGGAGACTATGTCAATCCATCTGCTGGAGTTGGGATACACACTCTTCCTCTCTTGTCCTTGAACAACAACTCCAGGATCCCCACCCTTTGTACTTCAGAACTCACACCAGTACTCCCCACTGCCTCGAGCTCTCAGGCCTCTGGCCTTGGACTGAGCCAGGCTACCAGCATCCCAGGGTCTCCAGGTTGTCAACAACCTGTTGTGGGACTTCTCAGTGTCCATTATCATGTGAACCAATTGCACTAATAAATCCCCTTTCATACATCTATATACATCTATCTTATTGGTTTTGTTTCTCTGGAGAACCCGGACAGATTTAGACCCCTTTCTTGGCCATCAGATCTATACCCACCCCTGTCCTATTACCTTTTCTTCAAAGTCCTTAGCACTATCTGAAATGCTCATGTGTATTTATTATTGACTTGGTAATAGTTTGCCTCTCTACTAGAACATAACCACCTGAGGACCTTATGAGACAGGTCCTAAACTCTCAGGGTCCAGAACGCAATCTGGCTCACTAGGGATGTGCTCAGTAACTATCTGTTGAATGCGTAAGTCACTGAACACATACATACAGGGGCATCTAGGAAGTTATTTGTTAGCTCTATAAATAACTCTGTGTAACTGAGGAGTCCAATCAGAAGCCCCTAAACTTAATTACAAGTAAATGTATACTAATATACAATAACCCACCTGATAGGACAATTCCAAAATGCTTTCTAGGAAGAGTCAACCACAACTTGAAGCAAAATAAGGAAGATCTATAAAATACTTCAAAGAGTAACTGAAAACCTCTTAAATCAAATATTTTATATACAATGTGAAAGGCAAACTGATGTGGTTTGGCTGTGTTCCCACCCAAACCTCATCTTGAATTGTAATCTCATAATCTTCACATGTTGTAGGAGGGACCTGGTGGGAGGTAATTGAATCAGGCGAGTGGTTTCCCCCATGCTGTTCTCGTGACGGTGAGTTCTCACGAGACCCGATGGGGCTTCTCCCTGCACTTGGCACTCATTCTCTCTCCTGTTGCCCTGTGAAGAGGTGCCTTCTGCCATGATTGCAAGTTTCCTGAGGCCTCCCCAGCCACAT